GGAACCGTCCATGTAATCGTCGGAGGATCGGTTGTCGCGGGCTGCACCTCGGCCGCAGCTCGGTCATCAGCCCGCGAGGCCGCCAGAGAAGAGCTTAACCCCCCGAAACAGCCAAGGATGGAGGAACCGATCTTCTTCACCAAAGACGATGCGCGAGGGGTCCATTATCCCCATGATGACGCGCTCATCATAAAGATCAAGATCAACAACTTTGAGGTCAAGCGCGTCCTAGTCGACTCGGGCAGCTCGGCAAACATCCTCTTCAAGGCAGCCATCGACCAGCTTCAGCTCCCGGAAAGCGACCTGAAGCCCTCAAGCACTCCACTGGTAGGATTCAGTGGCGAGGAGATCAGGCCTTTAGGGAGAGTCACTGTACCAGTAGAGGTCGGTACCTGGCCCAGTGTAGTGAGGCTCACTCACGAGTTCCTGGTGGTCGCAACCCCCTTCCCGTACAACGCAATAGTAGGACGGCCCATCACCTACTCCCTACACGCGGTAGTTTCCACCTACCACCTGGCGATGAAGTTCCCTACAGACTTTGGAGTTGGAGTGACACGAGGTGATCAGCTCGAATCCCGCAAGTGCTACGTAGTCGCCCTCAAAGGAAAGGCCAAGGTAGCTGACGACCGCAAGCTAGAATGACCTGCGGAGCAGTTCGCGGAGCGAGCCGCACCTACCGAGGAGACCATCCCCATCCCGGCTTCGACAGAAGACCCAGCTCGGGTGCTTCAGATCGGCGCTTCTGTTAAGGAGCCCCTGCGGTCTCAACCGGTAAGCTTCTTACTTGAAAATTTAGATGTTTTTGCATGGTCAGCAGCAGAAATGCCCGGCATAGACCCCAACATAATCACTCATAGACTCAACACTGATCCTATAGTTAGGCCCATTAGACAGAAGAAACGCAACTTAGCCCCGGAGCGATGGAGGGCAGTCGACGAGGAGGTCGGGAAACTCCTTGCAGCCAATTTTATCAGGGAAGTCCATTACCCAAGCTGGGTGGCCAACCCCGTTCTGGTAAAAAAGGCTAACGGTAAGTGGCGCATGTGCGTCGACTACACTGACCTGAATCGAGCTTGCCCGAAGGACTGCTTCCCACTTCCCAGGATCGACAATCTAGTCGACGCGACCTCGGGGCACGAGTTGCCGAGCTTCCTGGACGCCTATTCAGGCTACAATCAAATCAAGATGGACCCAGCAGATGAAGAGAAAACTGCCTTCATAACCAAGTTCGGCTTGTACTGTTACAAGGTCATGCCCTTCGGGCTAAAAAACGCTAGGGCCACTTTTCAAAGACTTGTAAACAAGCTGTTTGAGCCACTAGTTGGCAAAAAAGTAGAGTGTTATGTATACGACATGGTCGTCAAAACCCAATTTTCGCATGAATTAGTACAAGATTTACATTCAGTTTTTGAAATTTTGTGTAGATTTAATATGAAGTTAAATCCAAACAAGTGTGTCTTCGGTGTCACATCGGGAAAATTCCTAGGGTACATCGTTAACCGCCGAGGCATTGAGGCCAACCCGGACAAAATCAAAGCCATCCTAGAGATGAGACCACCCCGAAAATTAAATGAGGTTCAAAAGTTGAACGGCCGGCTAGTCGCCCTAAGCCGCTTCATGTCCAAGTCAGCAGATCGCTGCTTGCCCTTCTTTAAGGCCATAAAAAACAAAGGTTTTGAGTGGACTAAAGAGTGCCAGCTCGCATTCGACGAGCTCAAAAGACACCTAGCCAGTGTCGCAGTCTTAACCCGACCCGAAGAGGGTGATGTTTTAGAGTTGTACCTCTCGGTGAGTGACGAGGTGGTTAGCTCGGTACTAATAAGAGAAGTAGATCGGGTCCAATGACCCGTCTACTATGTTAGTAAAATATTGCAGGGAGCAGAGACGAGGTACCCCGAGATAGAGAAGTTAGCTTACGCACTGGTTGTGGCAGCCCAAAAGCTCCGCCCGTACTTCCAAGCTCACGCCATCGTTGTCCTTACCAATAAACCTCTGAGGCAAGTCTTGCTCAAGCCCGAAGTCTCAGGAAGGCTAACGAAGTGGGCCATCGAGCTCAGCGAATACGAACTCCAATATAAGCCACGAACTGCTATCAAGGCCCAAGCCTTAGTAGATTTCGTCGCAGAGTGTACCTTCAGTTCTGAAGTCTCCAGGCCGGTGGAACACAAGGCCCCCAGTGCGGGTGAGCCCGGGCTTCACAGGCCGGTTGAACTCGAGCCCTGTGAAGTAGCAACCAACGCAGCGTCTCTCCTAGTTAGGCCAAGCCCGAACTAGGATGAAGAACCCTGGATCCTTCACGTAGATGGCTCATCAAACCGGCAGGGCAGCGGGGCTGTGATCGTTCTGTACGGGCCAAGCGGTGTGAAACCGGAGTACGCACTACGCTTTGAGTTCGCGGCATCCAACAACGAAGTAGAGTACGAGGCGCTGCTAACCGGGCTGGATCTGGCAAGGGAAGTGAAAGCCAAGCACGTCGTTGTCTGCAGCGATTCCCAGCTCGTGGTAAACCAAGTTATGGATGAATACGAAGTCCGCGAGCCAACCATGATAGCATACTTAGCTAAAGCAAGAGGGGCTCTGCTCAACTTCCGGTCATACTTCATCCAACAAATCCCGAGATCAGAGAATGTCGAAGCCGATGCCCTATCCCGTCTAGCCAGCACTGGCGATAACACCATGAGAACCGTGTATATAGAGAACTTGCCTTGGCCTAGCATTCTCAGGGGGGCAGAGGAGGTTGCTCCCGTCGTTCAACCAGAGCCAAGCTGGATTGATCCGCTCACGAGCTTCATGCTACACGGGACCCTCCCCGCAGATCGTAACGCCACTAGAAGGGTAGAGCGTTAGGCAGCCAAATACGTTATGATTGACGGACGGTTATACCGAAGATCCTACACGCTCCCCTACCTGCGCTGCCTGCGACCCTCTGAAGCCGAGTTCGTCCTCTGCAATACTCATGAGGGCCTATGCGGCAGACACTTGGGGGGCAGGGCCCTCACTCAGAAAGCACTACGACAGGGGTATTACTGGCCAACAATGAAGGCAGATGCGACCGAGCTCGTCAAAAAATGCGACGTGTCAAAAGCACGCCAACATCCACCATCGGCCTGTTGCCGATCTAAAATACCTCACTAGCCCATGGCCATTTGCGCAATGGGGGATTGACCTACTCGGCCCATTCCCACCAGCAACAGGACAAAGGAGGTTCCTAGTGGTGGCAGTTGACTATTTCACAAAGTGGGTCGAAGCTGAACCTCTCGCAACAATCACGGCCCGGAATGTGCAGAACTTCTTTTGGAAGAACATAGTGTGTCGTTTCGGATTACCTCGAATACTGATCTCCGACAATGGTAAGCAGTTCGAAGACATCAAATTCCAAAACTGGTGCCGAGACATGGGGATTCAGCAGAACTTCACCTTAGTGGCGCACCCTCAGGCAAATGGGCAAACGGAAGTCACAAACAGGGCAATCCTTCGAGGGCTAAAAGCGCGCCTAGACCAAGCTAAGGTACTGTGGACGGACGAGCTGCCCAGTGTGTTGTGGGCCTACCGTACCACGGAAAAGACTGCCACGGGAGAAACCCCGTTAACCTAACATACGTCACCGAAGCAGTCATTCCAGACAAGATTGAAGTTCCTTCACTAAGATTAAAAGCATATGATGACAAGGCAAATGAAGACGAGCTACGTACCAACCTCGACCTGCTTGACGAAGTACGGGACCTCGCATACATCAGGACCGCGGCCTACCAGCGAAGGGTAGCTCGATACTATAACACCAGGGTCAAAAAGCGAACTCTCCGCGTTGGCGACCTGGTTCTCCGTAAGGTTATGGTACCTGAGCCCGGCGTTGGCAAGCTCGGTCCGAACTAGGAAGGACCCTACCGAGTAAAGTGAAAACTCAGGGAAGGAACATATGAGCTCCAAACCCTAGAAGGGAAACAAGTACCTCGGGCATGGAATATCGTCAACCTAAGACAGTATTACCTATGAGTAACGGAGTAGACCACGGGTCACTCTCAGAGCTCTAAGGGGCCAAAACACCGAGCTGACCAAGGAGCTCGGCACCATAGCACGCCGCGTCAAAGGCGCAAGCAGACCCTA